GTTGGATCCACTCCACTGAATCTATTGTACTAGATAAATAACAGAGAGATAGATGTAGATTTAGATATTATTAATAGAAATATATATAATTAGAAAACAAGATTTTTGTAAATACGTAATTATATTTAGGTGCCTTAATTTGTAATCTCTGTCTTATGTGGCCATCAAGGACCAACGCCTTTGCTTATTCAAGGATCATATAAGTCGTGGTCGTCCAAGTAGGAATTCTCTTTCTACCCCTCTTCTCTCTCTCTCACACACATGCACAGACATGCACATGTTGATGGTTATTCACTTAACGTCTACCTTGATTATGCTGATGGTTATGCCAATATTTCTTAAATTATACACTTCAGAAGAAGATTATTATATTTCAGTTATACTTCATTAAAGATATTACACAGTGTATTATTTCACATAGAAAGAGTTACAGAGAGATGGAAAAACACATGAAAATGCAGAGACTCCCAGATACACACCTGAATGAAATCACTTCTCTCAAAATTTGGGGGGGAAAAGAATAAAGCAAAGTAATGCCATGATCTCATTAGAGAAGGGGATTTTCCAAACCTCATTATGCATGTTCAGCTCCGGACTACAGTAGGTTCATGTGCCAGGTGTGTGCAGTGCTGAGGTGCACCAGCTCAGACACCCGGCTCACTCTGTCCAGACATGAGCTGCTGGACACATCTCTTAGCCTCTTCCTGTTTCTGGCTGTACTTTCACATATGAAAAATGTAGCAAACTCAGACACCTATAGCACATAATCCACATCCACGTGTAGAAATGAAATAAGATTATGTAGCTAAGCGTTTATCACAGCTCAATCTCACAATAATAAACCACATTTCCCCAAATATTTCCACTGTCCACAAGCTTCCCAGGTAACTCACATGTGTTCTGGGGTCCTGCCGTCTCCTCAGGTGTCCCACCCAGAGCTTGCTATATAGAGGGGGACATGCAAATAGGGCCCTCCCTCAGCTGATGAAAACCAGCCCAGCCCTCACCCTGCAGCTCTGGGAGAGGAGCCCCAGCCCCGACATTCCCAGGTGTCCCGATTTGGTGATCAGGACTCAACACAGAAACTCACCATGCAGTCTGGGCTCAGATGGGTTTTCCTTGTTGCTCTGTTGCAAGGTAATTCACGGAGAACTAGAGACATTGGGTGTGTGAGTGGATGTGAGTGAGAGAAACAAGGGTGTGTGTGGCAGTTTCTGACCAGGATGTGTCTGTGTTTGCAGGTGTCCAGTGTGAGGTGCAGCTGGTGGAGTCTGGGGGAGGCTTGGTCCAGCCTGGGGGTTCCCTGAGACTCTCCTGTGCAGCCTCTGGATTCACCTTCAGCAGCTATGAGATGCACTGGTTCCGCCAAGCTCCAAGGAAGGGGCTGGAGTGGGTGGCAGGTATATGGTATGATGTAAGCAAGCAATACTACGCAGACGCCGTGAAGGGCCAATTCACCATCTCCAGAGACAACAGCAAGAACACACTTTCTCTGCAAATGATCAGTTTGCGAGCCGAGGACACGGCCGTGTACTACTGTGTGACTGACATAGTGAGGGGACATCATTGTGAGCCCAGACACAAACAAACATCTCTTCCACTCCCATTTCCTGAGAGGTTCCCCAGTGGGTGAGGACACTGCTTTCTGCCTCTTGTCCCCTGAAGAGTAATTCTGTCGATCTGTAGGAGACAGAGGAGGTGGCTCTGAATGCATTTCAGAAACATGTTCTCGCTCCCTCTAAGATAGAACCACCTGTGAGTGCACAACTTCGGGATGTCTCTCCAATCCTGGAAAAAGAAACTTCAGGGAAAATTGAAATAGGAATTCCCAACAATGTGACCACTGGAAAATTTAAACTATATCCTCTTTACCAAATCCGGCTTCCAGCAATCCAGTGCACACGTCCAGTACAGTCTTGTCCCAACCCACATGCCGTCTGGTGAACTGTGCCTAATAAGCTAATGCTCTGGTCCTGTTTCTCCCTGCAAGTACTGGTCTCTCTGCAGATTTCAAGTTTCCTGTTTGTCATGTAACTTCCATTGTGTGAAATATTAAATAAAATGTGCTGATC